TCTTTCTGTAGGAAGGACCTTTTTATGAGGCGGCAAATCTGTTGTATTTGATAACTAAATTCACTTTTACATTGAGAACTATACGATTGCTGAACTTTCAAGTTAAGAACAATGTTGGAGCAGTTGAATCAAAATCAAAAAGTTTGATAATCTGCAAAAGGAATTGATTTAAGCTATCTATACATTTGTATGTTAATTAAATTAAACCAAAAACAAACAAAAAATCTCATGTATTACTTCAACGATCCCGGATTCTCTTTAAATGGAAGTGATTACTTAAAAGTTTACTGTGGTCATTTAATTGATGTCCAGCTAACGCTGTATTTGCAGATGTGTGAGAATGATTCCCTAGATGCTGGGCTCAAAAGAAAACAGCTGTTCACAATACTCGGAAAATTTTGATACACACCGACAAACATTTTTCTGATCTTTGCAATTGAAGCATATAGATTTTATTTATTTTCCGTTTTAATTCTTCTGTCTTGTTGTTACAATGAGGAGAAGGGTTAAGTTATGCTTTGCGATGTTATTTGTAAATTTTTAACGAAGCAATTAAATTATTATTATTTTATTACTTGATTATTACGAGTATTGATTGTTGCCTTATCACCATTGTTATTTCATTACTCGCTTTGTCCCCTTATTATGATGTTTTTAGGTGAAGAATTTCCGCTGTTATTATTTTTACTCGTTTTATCTAACCTTATTTATTACTATTTTTCGTTCATCTTAGCGTTGTTGGTGTTTTAGTTGAAACATTTTTACTATTATTATTTTTACTAGCTTTAATCAAATCTTGTTAATCTCGCTGAAGCTTGTTTTAATAATTTATTTTATTACTGTGCTTACTCCATGTTTTTATTGTTGTATCTTGATACGATAGCATGAGGCATGTTCATTTATTGATGTTTTTTATGACAAGAGAATGTCACATTATTAAAAGGCCGCCTGACCGATAAATTATTAAATATTTAATATTAATTAATTCATATTGTCTTTGTGTCATTTTAGAATAGATTACTAATTTCCCTCAATGCTATTATTGTTGATTTTTTATAAGGAGCTTTGTCGTCTTCTTACCCATGGCTCTCCACAACTTCCTATCAGTCGTCAACCTCTAAATGATGCTTGTCGCATTACTATCCCATTCATTCATTTTTACATGTTGTTTCCCTGGGCTCCTTTTGACTTTAAGAGATCCCGAGGGGTAAAATTTTTCCAAACCATCTTTTCTCATTATGCGTCCCAGATATTCTAATTGTCTCTGTCTGATTCTAAGTGTGTGCTGCTTTTGTTTCCATTTTCCTTAATACTTCCTCGCTTTTTTACATCTGTTTTGTCCATTGTGTTCTGATCATCTCCCTGTAGAACCATATCTCTGTTGCCTCCAGTCATCTGTTCCACTGTAAGAAAAATATTGAGTATTCAATGTCATATTGGAGGATTGCTATTACATAGCAGTTCTGAACGCAACTTCTTTTTCCTATTGAAATGTTTTCTGTTTTTAATACTTTGCTTAGGTTTTGGAAGGCATATTTCATTATTCCAATGCGTCTTCCTGATTCTGGGTCACATTTTCTGTTGTTAAATTTCTGCACTTGCTCGATTCTGTTCTCTCCATCTTGTAGCTCTCACATTTAGGTGGTCCCTGTTCAAAACGAACATACATTCTGCTCGCGTTTTACTAATACGCGTTTTATCCCAACACTCAGAGCCGAGGCAGTCTCTGACATCGAAGAGCAAACCATCTGGAATCGAAAGATAGATTCTTGAACTCAAGATGTCGTTCGTATTGTTACAGTTATTTTCCTAATTCGTATCGTTTATTCCAACTTCATTTCTTCATGCAACAACAATTGCTGAATGCTTTTTAAATTCCACTCATTATTGGAGACTGTAGATTTTTATCGTTACTCTTTGCGAACAGAATAAAAAACAAAAAGTGTATTAAACTTTTCAGTCTTCCTATATGACAGTGGATGATAAACACTCTCCTCACAGATGAAGAGTAGACTAGAAGCAACAGAAATGTGGTTCTACAGAAGGATGCTGAGAATAGCATGAAACGAACATGTGAGCAACTACGAATTTCTAGATACAAGGTGAAAAAAAGGACACATACTTCTGAAGATGCTGAGGATGGTGGTGATAACATAGAACTAACTTGAGAGTAACGACGAAGTTTTAAGAAAAATGGAAACAAAAACGAAAAATATACATTTTTATATTAGGAAGAGGCAGTTGAGATTTCGAGGGCGCAATTACAAAAGAGGACTTGGAAAATTTGATATTCTTAGGATAGATCGAACGTAAAAGTTACAGAGGAAAACAAAGCATAAAATACTTAATGATCTTGAGTAAATAAATGCCAAACAGGAAATTGTGGAGATCCGTGATCGCCTACGCCCGAGAAGGCGGGGGCACAGTACATACAGAAGAATATACTTAACACTAGAAAGACACAGCTGAAGTTTCTAGGGCACATAACGAGGAAAGAGGGTTTGGGAAATTTGATACTCACAGGACAGATTGAAGGCAGGTGTTTAAGAGCAAAAACGTATAACCTACCTGGAGAACCTGTGTGAATGAATGGCACAGCAGGGTTTAGAAGATAGAGCAAAAAGACAAAATATATTAAGAACGACAAAGAAACAGGAAGTTGTGGAGAGCCATGATTGCCGACGTCCTGGAGGGATGCTGTAGATCCTTGTGCGATCGTTGGATATATCCCTTCGAAGTCAAATTCAAAGGAATCTATAGATCATTGGGTGCAGGTTACGACGTTAAGTTTCATTCCCATTTCGCAAAGTTTTGAGCAGTGTCTCACATTGTAGTAAGTAAAATTGAGCGTAGCGATAGAAAAACCACCCGGAGCTTTGTACATTCATTATTATTTATTACTTTCCCCTCGGAAAATATCCTTTTACTTATATATTTATTTCCCATCGTGAAGAAGCCTCAGGCACAGCTTTACAATCAAGAGGAAAATTATAAATATTTAATCACTGATTCCTCAAGAGCGAAACGACATATATTTTTGTCTAAAGCGACATTTGGATTTGTGTTCTGCCTAATCATATCAGACGATAATATTGCAGGAATATATGACAAATATTTAAACTGGAAACTGCTACACGATTTCATGTTGAGGTGTTAACAAAATTATCTTACTCCACGGCATTTTCTGCGAACATCAAGACATGCTTCTAATCTAATCTCGTTAGCGCACTAGAGAGGTTGTTTGTTTTTTGTTGTTGTTTTTTTTTTTTTTTGGCTTTTTATGCTATCTTTTATACTATGCCCCGAATGGGTGGTATGGTGTAATGTATAACGGACGACTCAGTTCGAATTCACTTGGGCTAGTTACAATAACTTGGGAAGGGCATGAATCGTTCACTCCTCCCTCCAGTTTTGGATTTTATAGAAGGACAAACTGGGCCTTATAAGCTTGGTTGGCAACCGCAGAAGGTTCTTTTATTGTCCTCTCTCCTTCATAGTATTTTCTCATATTTTCTAACATTCAGTATTCTGTTGCCTCTTAGTAGATTTATTGTCTTGCTTAGGGTGACAGGATTAAATTTTTTAAAAAGTCACATATTATCTTTCACTTTTCCATTAAGTTATAATACAACGACTATTCCAGAAAGTCTCTCCACTTGAGTTCCTTTATTGAAAATGAAAGAAAAAGAAGACGGATATTGTAATAATTAAATAGGAAATAAGAAAAGACTGATTTAAAACTGGCAATTACTAGCAATAATTTGGTCGTTTTCCTGTATTATAACATGGAAAAGTAGACAGAGATAGTGAAACTTTTACAAGAAAACGTCTAGTCTACGACAATTGCTACGATTAAGGCAACTTATTATTTTCCCTGTTATCTCTTTACATTTTTAAAAACTAAAGTTAAACCAATGCAAAACTCAAGAGCGACTGGCCGCATTGAATGGCTGAATAAGACGTTTGATATGAATTTAAGAGAAGGTAGAAAGAAGTTAATGAGTTATGAGTATAAACACGATAGGTTGTGATTAGCCCTTGATTTGAAGAGGTTAAGATTATAGTATTCGAAAAGGTATAGGCGCGATTGTCTGCACCAAAAATTAACAAGTTTATTGATCTTTTTATTTGACCAGAAAAAGACGATTAAAAAAAAAAGGAAAGTAAGACAGCGATGGTGAAGATGTGTAATATTTACAAGACAAGAAGAAAAAGTAAATTTAATACTGAATATTCCTACTATTCTGCCCTTTGTTCTTTGTAAAATAAAAAGAGAAATTATGACAGAGATAGTGATGATGGGAAATATTTTAAAGAACAAAAGTAAGTTTACAACTGACAGTTACTACCACTACGATAGTATATTCTCTACCCTATACTCTTCTTACTTTTCAGAAATATTTTCAGATTGTAAGAATTGGGGTGGGGGAGATACTAATGGTTTGGTGATACCAGTTTTACTAATTAAGCCATAGTTGGTGAGAGAAGAGGTCGATTCATATTTGCGCGTAAGTGATTATGACTAACTCAAAGAGAATTGAAACCCAGCTCTCCGATTAACAATTGCGAGCCATTATCCATTACACTACATCCAATCTTACAGCACCTGGTCTGTCCTAGGAATCACGACAGACTACATCCGGTAGCAAGGTCTTTGATTATGTGGCTTTGAGGAGCGTAGCACCACCTCGTAATTGTTGCTGTTTCCAGGGCCACCGTCAGTCGCGATGGTAACACGTGTTACGTTCCCAGCTATGGGTAAAGAGCTAGCCCCCAAACTAGGGTCAAAACACTATGAAAGTATAAAAAATATATATATTAAAAATACCAGCAATACATTTATATAAGTAAAAAAGTTCCGAGCAAAAGGTTTTCGTAAAAAAATAAAATAAATAATTACCAGCAATACATTTCTGTAAAAGAGATTAATAATGCTCCCAAGAAAATAAATTTCGGTATTAAATGACCCATAAGGAGTTGATATGCTAGTAAAGAAATAAACAACACCTGGTATTACCAAGTTGTTACCCATCTAGGTGATGACCAGGTTTAATGTTGCTTAACTTCAGTGATCGTACAAGAACCGGTGTTTTCAACGTGATGTGGCCGTAAACTTGCAAAGCAGAGAGAGATAGCGATGTATCGGAACACTAACATTGGAAGTAACAAGAAAATACATGCCTCGGATAGCGAGAATTACTACCAATACAGCAGTAGATATTCTGCCCTTAAAAAAGAAAACAAACAGTAAAATAAGAAAAGTAGACAACAATCATTAGGAAGAAACGAAGAAGAAATAATTAAAGAAACAAGACCAGAAATGAGAAAATGAATGAACGGAAATGTAGAAGAATCAACAAACTGAAAGGCATTTTGAGAAGGCGGTAACAGATGATGGCGCCATCATGAAAACTCGGAAGATACTTTTGCCCAAGGTGGAATACTGGATGTTGATGCATTTATGCGTTTCGCTCACATCTCCAATGTGTTTCTAATTGCATTCGATGAGGAATGTTTGAATAGAGCGGAGGCGGGGGAGTAGGCCGTGCACTGATGATGATGTCTTCCACGGAAGAAAAAAATCAGATAAGATAATGAACTCTACACTTATCCATCCACCAACACCTCCAGCAGAAACCAGCGGTTCAAGAAAGAAATAGCGTAGATGTTTGTTTATGCGTGATTCCTGCCGAGAAAATGAATGGAATAATCACGCTATGTTTCTTTGACTAGCTCTCTTCAATTAACTGACTCGCATTTTCGTTGGGATTTTCATTTGTTTCAACATAAATGATAAACTTTGTAAGAAACGTTGGAACTACTTTTTATACTTTCTTTTTTGTCATTTCGCCCCAAACAAGGCAATAAAGCCATTAAAACGCAAAAGGTTACTGAGCAGGAAAGAATATGAAAAAAAGTAAATATTATTAAGAAGAAGGAGAATAAAAGACCAAGAATTAAGAAAAAAATAGACTACCATAACATTTTAACCAATTTTAGTTTAAAAAAAGCAAAAAGCTAACACTGACATTAAAAAGAAACTTCAATAGCATAGTAGTATCAATTGATAGATTCGGATACTATCTGTCGCTGTTTACTTTTCTGTCTTTAAATACAAGAAAACGCTTTAGAAGAAAGTGTGAAAAAAGGATTACCCATCAACTGCAAGAGGACAAAAAGTATGATCACCATCAAAAGAAAAATTTCTATAACACGAAGAACATGAATTGGATTTTCTAAAAAGAATTGGTCTCTTATCAAAGATGTAGACTGATGTATAAACAACATATCCTACCTTTTACCATTTTGCAAATAAATTGTCCTTATCAAATGGAAATTCTTGACTTAAACAAAAATACCTAGGATTATTTTGCGGTGTTAGCTCTAGTTTGCTAAAAATGTTCCATACAAAATAGGCATTTAAAATTCATATATTTGGCATATATATATAAACTGGATTTGGCATTAAATAACCTACATGCCATAAAAACCAACCAAACAAACAAACAATCAAAAGAAAAAGCCTCAAAATGTGAGTTACAAATTGGAGATGTCAACATCAAACAGGTGAAGAAGTTTAAATATCTGGGAAGTGTTTTAACGGAGGATGTAAAATGCGACCCGAGGACACACTGGACAAGCGAAAGAGAAATTTCACAAGTTAAGCAAGGGGCTAAGAAACTGAAAATATTCGTTAGAAACAAAGAAGTGAGTGCTGGATTGCTATGCGATATCCATTCTCTTATATGACAGTCAATGCTGAACAATATCATTAAGAATGAGAAGGAAACTAGAGGCAACAGAAATGCGGTTCTACAAAAGGATACTGAAAATTTTATGGGCGGATCGAGTAATCAACAAGGAAGTCTTAAAGAAAATAGGAACAGAATCAGAACATGTATACTCAGAATCAGGAAAACACAGCCGGAATTCCTTGGACATATAATTATTTTAGTTAGTTGTTATATTTAGCGGCATATCAACATGTACCTGGCATCTCGGCTTTAGGCATTTTCTCCCCGCAGTAACGTAGCATCCCTGTGCATTTTGTATATCCATTTTCATGGTAAATGTTCTTCTAATGCCATGTCGACAAGGTACTGTAGTTTCTTTTCAGAGTCTGCCATCAACACAGTGCCATCTGCCTGTCTTATTTTGTTAAGTTGACGCCCACTGATAATAAATCCTGGTAGAACCACAAATTTCCTTAGGATAATGTCGTTGTAAGGATTGAATAAGTCATGCCGAAATTCCAATATGAAAATATAAACTTTATAATTAATTTAAGTGAATGAAATTATTTCATGGTTAAATTATAATTATTTAACTGCATTTTTTTACCAAATACTTGATTATCCTTATACCAAATCACATTTATCATAGCAAATTGATTTTGTTTTTAATATTGTATGCTGTCTTCTACTTTACTCTAAAATTGAAGGTCATTTTAGTATAAAAATGTATTGCTGGTAATTTCATCTTTTTTTTTGTAAAAATGTATTGCTGGTAATTTCATCTTTTTTTATATATAAAAATGTATTGCTGGTAATTTCATCTTTTTTTTTATAAAAATGTATTGTGGGTAATTTCATCTTTTTTTTTTATAAAAATGTATTTCTGGTAATTTCATCTTTTTTTTTTTTAAAATGTATTGCTGGTAATTTCATCTTTTTTTAAATGTATTGTTGGTAATTTAACTACTAAAATGTATTCTGGGTAATTTCATCTTTTTTTTTATAAAAATGTATTGCTGGTAATTTCATCTTTTTTTATATAAAAATGTATTGCTGGTAATTTCATCTTTTTTTTTATAAAAATGTATTGCTGGTAATTTCATCTTTTTTTTTATAAAAATGTATTGCTGGTAATTTAACTACTAAAATGTATTGTGGGTAATTTCTTTATAAAAAATTATTGCTAGTATTTTTACTATAAAAATATATTACTAAACTTTCCTAGTGTTTTGATTTTTGTTTGGATGTTCACTCTTTGCCCTCAGATGGGGTAGTAACAGGTGCTACCATCCCGGGTCAGGGTGGACGTAGAACAACAGCAAATAAGAGTTTTTTTTCCACGCTCCTCAAAACCTCCAGTTTCACGATCAAAGGCATTGCTTTCATAGCCAGGACGACATATAATGAGGAAGAAGGGCTTGGAAAACTTAACCATCACAGGGCTTATTGAGAGCTAAGAGAAGGTTGTGAGGCACTTACATGACCGTGCTATCGTATCGCTATTTTCCTCGTAAATGTTCAGACGCAACTAAATTAATTAGTTCTACCAGTTTAGACCTTCAAAGTTAGGATATACACATTGTTGACTAATCTTCCTTCAGATTTTATTCCATTGGTAAGGAGACATCATCTTCCAAAGAATTATTACTTCGTGAATTACATTCTCGAAAGGATCCTTTCCTTATCACTACGATCCTAACCTCTTCAAGTCTACGGTCAACCGTTTATCTATCCTACATATCCTCATAATATGAACTTCTTACTTCCTCCATTTCCGCCGTTACAGCCTCGTTCAGGAAGCTTTTACCTTGAGTGTCTCTTGGGCCTTGTATTCAGTTAATAATACTACAGAAACACCGTTAAATGCTTGGTAAATGTGTCCACCTTGTTAGAGACCTGAGAAAATCGTCGGATGCTAAGGTGACATTCATACTAATTGTTATTGGAGCATTTCCGAAAGGTTGAGAACAAAGTTTAAAATTAAAGAAGAATATTGATCTTTGAAATGACAATGCTACTAAAATCCACCTAGAATAATGCGAAGAGTCCTGGAGTAGTGAAGAAACTTACTCTCACTTGGAAATACGAGTTCCGATAAATGTGAAAACCCAAGAAGAAATACTATTAACAATTAACGTCATAAGAAATGTTTTATTTTTATTTTTATATATTAACCAAGCTTGTATCATAACTCTCATAAAATTATCATCATCATCATCATCATCATCATCATCATTATTATCATTATCATCATCATTATTATCATTATCATTATTATCATTATCATCATCATTATTATCATCATCGTTATTATTATTATTATTATTATTATTATTTCCTTTGATTTCTGTATACTCATTACTTTCCGGGTCTCAACCAAAGACGTAAGGTCAGAAATGACATCATGACCTTTTCCTCCTGAGCATTTTTGAGAAAAAAAAAAAAAAAAAAAACTAAGATCACACACATTTTACATAGATAGATTCCTTCGTAAGACTGTGAGTACAAATTTTGTATTTATTTAAAGCTTGGGCTACCAGGAATCCATTTAATGAGTCCATCAGAATTTTTCCCATCAATCCAACGGCTCCAATTACAACTGGAAAATGTTGATGTCCTCATGTGCCACATTTTTGAGATTTCGACACATTTTGTTGTTGTGTTTCGATCACGATGTGTGGACGATTAGATTTGATTGTTCTGTCTGTGTGTATTGTAAAGGCCCATAAAATTGTTACAGGGCCAATCTCTGTAACCGGGTCTGGGTAATGTTCAAGCTAATTTCTTGCAGTTTCATTTCCGTAAAAGTTGCAGATTCTCCAATGCATATATTGGCCCACTCTGTCATATTATTATTATTAGTAGTAGTAGTGATAATAGTAGTAGTATTTTATAATGTATAATATTATTATAATTTTAATTATTATTATTTAACAAAGATATCTCTTTATTAGTTTTCTGAGAAATAATGAAGAGAAATAATTCTATCTTTTGTAAAATCCAACTACGCTTCAATGTAGACTTAGAAACAGCCCATTTCATTTTATTTTCTTTTTCATTCTTTTTCTTTATTATTTATTTATCTTTTTTTAAGAGTGGGGTCGTTCCGGAAACGAACGTTTTTAAAAATCAAATCAAATATTCACTAGAATATGCCAAGCCTCAAAAGAAAAATTCGATATACTTGATTTTTCTGGTTTTATCAGTTTGCGAAATATTTCTTCTCACCTGTGGGACCAAACCCTTCCAATCGAACCAATAAATACTTAATACAATGGTGGAAAATATAGCATTTGGCGCTTTTTTAAAGATTCCTTGCAAGATAGAAAGTGTTGGAATTGTTTTGACTTGCGCATAGATCTGAAATGTTGGGACGAT